GATCCATCTCCACAACATGCCAGCACCACTGTGAAGTGTGATTTCTCATGACCAGTTGTCACTATATTCACACTTTTCTGCCCTTTCTCTGCGACACTTCGGCCCATGGGGATATCAAACGTGAGGGAGACCTCGTCCATGTTGATAATATGATCCGGTGACACGCTGTGTTCAGTTACCTGCTTTTCAACGAACTCACGGGAACTGTCAACCTTGGCTTGGAAGTCTGCTGGCAGGAGGCGGTTACGTTGCATGAAGCGGCAACACCAAGAAGGCCCGCCTGCAAAGTCATTTATATTCATCTCCTTTGCAACTACCAGGGCGTGGAGACGTAACTGCACTGTTGACAAGCCTCTCCCGGCTGCACGTTGTTCAAGCACCCATCTGTGGACTCGTTCCTCCAGCTCTGGCCATCTTGCTTTCAGCCCGCGATTAGCTTTCTTTGTTTTCTTCATTGCAGTAAGAGTAACCTCTGCTTTTCGCCAGTCCCTCACAAGTTTCTCACTCACTCCAAACTTTCTTTCTGCTGCTCGATTACTGTTTTCGGCTGCATATTTTGCTACCATCAGTTTGTAATCTGCAGAGTATGACTTTCTTTTGGGGGGCATTTTGTTTGTGTCTAGTCTTTCCAGTCCAGTTGTCTTTAAGTTAATGTTTCAATTAATTATTTCAGGGGTAGGCCTACATAGTTGTGTGTGTATATATATATATAGCGGCTCTGGTTGTCACAAGCCTAGAGCGCCTTCTCGCGGCTGTAGACAGTAAGGTTTAGGCTACTCCTCGTTTCATGTCGGAATTATTATTCAAAAACATGTTAAATTTCATATATAAGTCGCACCTGACTATAAGTCGCAGGACCAGCCAAACTATGAAAAGTGCGCCTTATAGTCCGGAAAATACGGTATTATAATTTTTCCCATATTGTGCAGCGCTCAATTAAATGTATTGTCAATGTATGACAGCTTTTGGAAGACCACAACGCTGACGCATGGGATAATGGAAGTACACAACTCAACTACATATAGAACATATATGGTGTTTATAGACAGTATTATAGAGATATTAATGTGGAAATGTTACAGATTATAGCTTTAATAAAGATCAACATCACCCAATACCATCTCCTCTCCATTCTGCTGTCAGTGTGGGACGGGCCCACCCCAGGAGCCCGCTGTGAGGTCTTCATCAGCCAGATCCCACGGGACGCCTACGAGGATCTGTTGATCCCCCTTTTCAGCTCTGTGGGGCCCCTCTGGGAGTTCCGGCTCATGATGAACTTCAGTGGGCAGAACCGCGGCTTCGCCTATGCCAAGTACGGCTCACCAGCTGTAGCTACCGACGCCATCCGCCTGCTGCACGGTCACATGCTGGACCCCGGCTTCCGCCTCAGTGTCCGCCGCAGCACCGAGAAGAGACACCTCTGTATAGGAGACCTGCCAGCCGCCACCAGGCAAGAGGACCTACTGCAGGTACAGCAGCTCTGTGACATACATTCTTAATGTAGACCACCAACTATATGCTACAATTACATATCATACATTGCTGGATTCAGAACAGTCAGGCCTTTCTAGCAAACCCTGGTTTGGGTGTTTTATCTGGAAACTATCCCAGCCAAAAAGCTACATTTGAAAAGCTAAAAGAATACATTCATTATAGACCTTCATATTTAGTATTTGCACCTATTGGTGTCCTGTTAATTTCCTCAATGATCAAGATAATTCAAAAAATGTTTATTCAGACATAGACATAGATACAGACAGAGGAGCTCCCTGCCACCCTTCCACACACACACACACACATTTGGAATAAATTTTGAATAAAATTTGATATTAAAATGATAACCCTTTTGTCAGTTAAGGTGTTAAGTTCAAGGATAATTTATCTGTTGGCATACAACAAACGGCTGCTAATTTTTAAGTTTTTACCAGCACTCAAGAGTACAAAATAGGCCTTCTGCGTTGAAACTTTTAGTTTCTCCCAAGCCTGTGATATCCACCCACCATCTCTACTATGTCATCTTAACTTTGTAGTAGTGGTCGGCCTCACCCACAAAGGTCTTTAGTTTATGGGAAGAGGCGTTTGTGTAGAACAACTATACTCAATAGAAAATTTGAATTACTGTTCTTACTGTGTGAATAAATGTTTGTCTGTAACTGCTGTTTGCTTCCAGGTGCTGCGTTCACTGACAGAGGGGGTGGAGAGAGTGTCTCTGAAGGCTGGGCCCGGTATAGAGGGGGTGTCTGCTATAGTCGCCTTCTCATCCCACCACAGTGCTTCTATGGCCAAGAAGGTGCTAGTGGAAGGTAGGTGAGCCGCTATGGACTGATCCATTGGATCAGTGTATGGCTTTAAATATGGCCCCATTGATGTTGGAAGTTCCATGACTGACAGAATTGGTGTTCTCTGTAAGTCGCTCGCATCTAACAATTTCGTGAGCGGATTTTCTGTTGCTCATAGAAAATTGTCAGACGGTTGTCTCAGAAACCAGTCTCTCGCGGTGCGCGCTCTCGTCTCTCTCCCTCTGCTCTGCTCTCGCTCTCTTCTCTCTCTGACCTCTCTCTTCTCTCTCTCTCTCGGCCTCTCACACTCACACTCACACCTTCCAGACACATCATACACTGCACGTGCACACGACGATCGGCATCCGTTCCCAGTGATCAGTTGCTGGATGTGCTTTGTGAAAGATAGAGAGAGAACGGAGAGAGATGATTATGCAGCAGGATGTCCTAAATCGTATGAACATCCTTTTAACATCGGTGTTCGCCCCTCGGTCAGTGTCGCTAATAATTTGTTATTTGAATATTATGTCGGCGGCCGCGCCGCAGATATGAGGGACGTAAGACGTTTGCATCGGATGAGTAATACAATGTTAAGAGTCTGGAGTATTTGAGACAGGTCGGCACGTGGCCAGGCTCAGTTATGGGGAGTTGAACCAATCAGCAGCCATTGTAAGTACAGTATGACATAAGAGTAATAACTAATGAAGCAGGAGCAGCGCGGAGGCATTGAGTGCAGTCAATCGAGGACCATGCGAGCTGAGCCTATCCTAGGATCCTATAGAGAGCCTGTGAACTTGAGAAAGCCACGGACATAACTGCGGGAGAGAGGTAAGTTGGTTGCTGATTGATTCTCTCAGTGGGATAGACAGAGCGTCATCCAACTTCAGCCTGCGAAAGTTGTCCGCCTACTCCAAAGCTGACAATCCATCCACCCCACTTTGTGCTGTGACGGCCTTCGTGCGGCTGTGTATCTTGAAATTTTTGAGAGATTATTAAAGGCCTGCTGTGCGTTCTTGGTCCAGATTTATACGAAGCAGTTAGCTGGAGTCTTCTCATCAAGTGCAGTCCAGCAGTAAAGCCGAGCCGGCACGATCTCCTCCCTCTACAGTAACCTTCAACCAGCGCCTCCGCCGGCACACTGAAGCCCGCCGCACACATCCTCACTTCACCACGGCCCTCTGTCTGCCTCCTCGGGCCTGGCCTGCCCCAGTCCATCCCCGGTTTCTGCAGACGAGGGGGAGACCCACTGCCCCAGCACCTTGCCATCCCCGCTCCTCCTCCTCTCCCCAGGGGCATCTAGCATCCACAGCATCCCCTGTGATGCTCCTATCAAGATGTGTGAGGCGACTGGCTTGCCACCGAGCCTGAGTGAAATTCCCACTACACCACCTGCCTGTGACTGCTTCCTCCTATTAGAGCGGGGTATACAAGGGGGTAATCCCCGGGTATAATCCCATAACCTCAGAGGGCTGTTATGATCTGCCGGACCCTCTACCACAGTCATGCCTGGAGGAGGTCAGGCTGCAGCAGCAGGTCCTGCAGAGGGTGTCACACCTAACCAGCTGCACATGACAACCCTTATCAGATATAGCAGTCACCTGTTGTCTACAGCACTGTTTCACTCTGTTTGTTTGCCTAAGACGTGGCGTGCTAGTATAAAAGAAGATGTCTTACTTCTTATGTCCAGTATATGATTTATGCCAGCTTTTATACGTAATAGAATGTTGTCTGTGTGAACTTCTGTGTTGTTAGCATGCTTTTATGGGTGTTACTGTGGATTTGTTCCTCATTTAACTTAATGAGGATTAAAGAAAATGGTACTGTGGGTTACTTAGTGTAGTAAATGTAACTCTTTGCTGAAGACTGACTCGGGACTAAGACCACTTACCAGACAGATTTGGTGCCCAACCTAGGTTCCGTAAAGCTTCACGGTTCGCGAAGGCTGTTTTTGTGCGGTAGAAGGTGTATGAAAACCTATAAGTATCACTTAGTAGTTCGCTTCTTGTTGGGTAAGCATCTGGTTTCAATGTGCCTCAATGTTTGAATAGAATCCCTAACAGTCGTCACAGCAGAAGCAGCTCCCGCCGCCCCCCCCGACCTCGAAGCCCCCGGATCACACCTCCCCTCCATGGCGTTCTATGTGGGCATTCCATTGCATGTATTAGAGAGCCAGTCGTTCACCTTGCCGTCGACACAAGAGACACGGCGGGTGCAACCAGATCTCAAATTTGGACTCTCAGACCAGAAGCATCAGATCTCTCCACGCGGTCTCAATGTCGATAGTCCTGGTTCTGCCAACAAAAGTCCTCTTCTGCGTTTTCTTCTTAAGTAGGTTCTTTAACGATCTATTTGACTATAAGGGCTACTCACACAGTCTCCTTCTGAACACCTTGACTTGTAGAATGTGTCTGCTACTAGAACTCTTGTGCATTCCATCTGGGCCTGAATCTATGGGTGCTGTTAACTCGATTCTGAGGCTGGCGCCGCGGTGACTCGATGAGCTGTACTCAGCACAGAGGTGACTTCTGTTCCGTATGTCCGGGCTGGTCGCTCATGTGAGCAGTTCGGTCTAAGAACTTCGGACACATTCAAATTTTTGCAGATTCCGACCGACTGACTCACTCGGTTAAGTGGGAATGACTGGTTGTTCTCGTTTACTTAGCAAATCGCTGGTAACGGCGGCCAGTCTAACATGAATCTAACAGTTGTCAAGAATGAGGGTGGTCAGGTGTACCATACCTTACTTCTGACACAACACAGCGCTGATGGCCCAACCAGCAGAAGCGCAATCCCACAAGTGAACCCCTTACAGAGGAGCACACCTTGAACTGAAGACACTGATTAGGTGACTACATCAGGAAGCTCATATGAGAGAAGCCAAGGACCCGCGGCGGGCAGTGGCCGTCCGGGGGCGCCCGGGGCGGCCGGGGGCCGGGTGGCGCCGTGCGGGCGTGCCGGGTCGGGCTGGGGTGTGGTCGGGTGGCGGGATGCGCGGGGTGGATGGTGGTGTCTTGTTTGTGTTTGTGTGTTCTGTTTTGGGTGTGTCTCTATCTTATCAAAGCAGGAAGTGGTACGGTGGGGTGGTGATTCCACTTGATGGAATTGTAATTATTGTGAGAAGGGTATTTAGGTTACGGTTTCACACTGGTGTGGTTACGGTACAGAGCGAGTGTGTTCTGGGTGCATGAGTTTGGATGCCTGTCAGGAGAATCTGCGTAGCAAGTGGCAAGGTGAGCGCGAGTGGAAAAGGAAAGAAAAGACCATGAAATGAGAGAGTGGGGTGTGCAACTTTTGACGAGGTGGTCTATAAGGGTAGTAAGAGTGTTGCTGGTTGTTGTTTTTGATGCTGTTTTTTCTTGTTTTTGTTGACGGTAGAGGACATATGGAATATGGTTCCAGTTCACACTCCATACCCAGGCAGATCTCCCATAGAACAGCAGCGCGTCATTAGTACAGGAGATCAGACCGTTAAGCCCATCGCAACCTAGCCCTTTTGATTGATTGTTTGACTTTGTGTGATGATTATCATTGCATTGTGGATGTTCATAAAGAGAAAGCAGTCAGAAGATTCTTTATTGTTGGAGGCATGGTGGTAAGGTCGTTTGTGTGGTTGTTGTTTGTGGTTGTGACTTTGTGATCAGCATTTTTAGGAAGAGCGTCATAGTGTCTATGTTGATTGTCATTGTAGGTGCTGCTCGAGTGTGAAACGCTGAGTATGGGGTGGTAATTATAATATTAATGAGTACGAGATCTGAATATTGCTACGTAACCGGACGAGGTATGCAGTGATGACATTGGTGAGAGAAGAGCAGGCTCTAGCTGAGCAGATCTGCAATTTGATATGAATAGTACTAGAGGTGATGAAAATGGTCCGCGGCAGCTCGGAAGAGCGGAAATTAAAAGACAAAACCAAGCGGCTGCGGCAGGTCGAAGGAACACGCGAAGGCAGGGAGGAAACAGCCACGCCACGCCAACTGCACGCGGCGGGCAGGAGCAGAAAGGAGTGGG